TTTATTTGCTATCATGCTATACTTCAGGCATTGTTTAAAAGACATCCTGAGTCTCCATGGATTAATTCAAAAGGATGGTAGCATTTTTTCTTCTTGCAGAAAAGAAGGACCAATGTTGTAGATACTTGTTTACTTCCAGAAAAACTCTGGGAATTAACTTCTACAGACATCATGCAATGTTCATTTTAACATTTCTACCTACCTTTTGTATTATACACACTACAAACAACAATAGGGAGTCATTTTACCCCATTCCAAAAAATATATTGAGTGTAAAATACATAAAATGGAGAATAAGTTCAAATTTACCGTTTAGAGGAGGATATGAAATTTTCTAGCCCAGAGACTTTATGAAACAAATAATAATAGCAGGGAGATCCAGTGTTCAAAATATCTCTTCCTCAAGTTGTGAATTGCTTTCAGTAGGTTGCAGTCATTCAGAATTTCACACTTTGTTACATCCCATTTTTGGCACTTGTCACAGTCAATGCCCTGCCTTATCCTGAGTTTTCAATTTTTCATCCCCAGACTTGGTATATACAATCTACACCTCCTTAGCTATATTTTATACACTAGAGCTTAGTTCTCAAAATGTTTGATTCTCATGTTATAGCACCAACTTTGTCCAAAAAATGATCAGACAATCTTTTTGCCCAGTTAGTGTAGGAGTGTCAGAACATTATCAAATATGTATTTTCTCAAATTTGAGAGGTTCTTTCTGGGAGAAACAAAGCTGTAGGACATAAATATCTCCTCAGAATTAAAACTGTGAATTGTTGACACATATTTGGACATAGAGAAGCACAATCTACATTTCATTGATAGAATAAACCGAAATCAATAGAAAGACCCATTCTTATATATGGTTTTGCATCAGACAAAAGGTTTGTGGGTTAATCCACAGTGGCCAATTGCACTCTCTATGGAAATGAATAAAGTGCATTCTTCCAGAAAATAAGGCATAGGACTACAGCCAAGGGTGTGGTACAGGTGATGGTCGATAATGGGAGTGCTAGGGAGTTGAAGTGAAGTTGCAGAGTTTTTATACCTAAGCAGTGGCAAAGATCATTAAATCTGGGGACGTCGTTCTTGGGACGATCGGGCAATTGCGAGTCGCACACCTTTGATATTTACATACACGTGAACAAGTGTTTCTTGGACTTTCAAAATTACGTACAATGTCACCCCAAATCTTTGACATGAGGTCACAAGAAACATCAGGGAGTTCTTCTCTCCTGTGTATGTGAATGCCCCTGAATCCTTTAGGAAGTCGGCGATTTGGGGGTTCCGAGTCTGTGACTCTGTCTGTCATTGCCATGCTCGGTTGGCGAGGCACCTTACCTCTGCATGATACTGTACGTGTCCAATGATTGACAAATGGGTGTCAGCACCTGATAGGTGACTCGGACCAGGGTGTAAGCACAATGTACTCTGAGTCTGATAGCTGGGTGGTTGTGCTGCTCCAGCACTATCAACTTTTTGTTTTTCGTCTTTCAGGTTGGCTTCGTAGGTGACTAACAATGTGAAGAACCAGGTGTGTAATTTGTCTGAATGTTTGTTAACCAAAGTGAGTGATGACCGGGAACTGGGTGCGATGGTTATGTGGATAAAGCCGAGACTGAATTTCCACCCCTTGCCAGAGGTGCCTTCTTTTTGCAATGTTTCTCGAGGGTACGTGCCCTTTCAAGTGGCTTGCATTTCATTTTTCGTCGGAGCACCGGAAAGAAGAGCACTCATATGAAATACATTCTCTAGCATTCTCTCTGTCATTCCCCTTGGATTAATATAATTGCAAAACAGCGTGAGAAGGGTAGTGGGACAGAACTTACCATACCCTAGCCTAAAAACATGCAATAAACCGAGCTTTCACCAACTACGGAGTGCATCGTAACTATTCACATCAAGGCCTCACGGTCAAAGGCGTCCCCTTTTATGTTCAATATAATCCGTGCTCGAAAGACTGCCAGCGGAATGTGTGATTATGCTGAAGGCACGTTAAATCGAGCGTAGTTCCTTGATGCGCACCCTCTGACGTAGCTGTGGAAGCAGGTGCTGGAATTGAAGCGCCTTCAGGTTATGCAAAATGCAGAGGCACGGACTGCTGACTTCATTTTTTTAAATGGGATCGCCATACACTGTAAGGATAAACACACACCATCAGGGGAGTTAAAGAGATTGGACCAGCGCTTATAGTGAATGGGAAGAAGGAAAGATCTGTATAGATGTGCTTCAATGAGTATTGGAAGAGTCGTTGAGTGATTCCGCAATCATTGGAATTCTTCTGTTCAGAAGCTCTATCAGCATACAGCAGGATTGAAAATAGAATAGTAGGTACCTTGCTTTTAATGTTCATGTCCTCACCCCAAAACTGTCGTGTGCTGCTTGCAATCACTACATACCACCACATTGTAACATCACCGAGAATTGATCTGGGTACCTGAGTTTGATTGGTAAAGGGGATACTCAACGCGTACGAAGTAACTTACTGAACAAGTCCTCACAACCCTTGCGGTTACTGACATCCTTGTGAACGGATTGCACTGTTGGAACATATCTCTAAAGGCTGGAAGAGGATGTTGACTATTTGCAGCTTAGCAATCAACGAAATCTCAGTGACAACGGGGGAGTCGACCTATGTGTTGGAACATCGTCCAAAAAGCTCACCCTCAAACACAACAACACCCTGAAGATGCGGAGTTTTCCGCCTTTGGCGGATTGGGCGAGGAATTCAAAAAGAACTAATCAACTTGACAGCACCTAAAGTGCCGGCAAAAAGTACTGCGGGTGAGAATTTTTTTTACTTCAACAGCCTTTCAAAGCCAGAGCTTTTCTGGTTCATATCTGAATACATGGTGGCTTGTTTGAGAATGATGAAATATCCTTTCAAACAGGCATAAGTCGTATCGTGTTTATGTTAGGGCAGCTTCAATCCAAATTAGGAAGTAAACTCTGAAAAGTCGCTTCGTTTGAATGAAGCGCTCTCGGTCAAATGAAGGCGCGCAAGTCTAATTTTTAATACAAGGACTAATATCGAGTATACCTTCCCTTTGCAAGTCCAAGAGCTGCCACGCGTTGGGGCATGCTGTGGTAAAGCGAGAACAAGTAACTATCCTCCATTTCTGCCCATGTATCCACCAAGGCCTGCCAAAGCTGAACTTTATTGGTTGGGTATTGTGGGCGTTGGCGAAGTCTAATGTCGAGCTGAGACCAGACATGTTCCATTGGGTTCATATCTGGACTGTTAGGTGGCCATGGAAGTGTCTTGATTCCGTTACGTGTCAGCCAGGTTGTTGTGTACTTGGATCTGTGCTTGGGATCATTGTCTTGCTGGAAAATCATTCCCTTTTTTTGAATCTCCAGCGTCTTTAGGGTACCGAGGAGTGACTCATCCAGTATCTCACAAAACTGGACACTATCCATGATCCCTTCGACAAGATGGAGCTCACCATACCCCTTCAATGTGATACATCCCCAAACCATGAGGCTGCCCCCTCCATGTTTGACTTCTGTCCTCACATTCTTCACATCAAACTCTTCTCCAACTCCCCTCCTGCACCACTGAAGCCCATCTGACCCAAATAAATTGAACTTCTTCTCATCCGAAAAGACTACAGATAGCCAGTCTTTTTCGGTCCAGTTCTGATGGAGTAAATACCATGCCAGTCGCTTCTTAATGTGAGTTGGTGTGAGGAAATAGCGTCGGCGACGACGGCGGCCATGTAGGCCTTCACAGATGAGGACGTTGCGCACAGTCCGGACAGAGAGGGTTGGGAATAGGTCACATTGTAGCTTGGATGCGTCAGGATATACCCCCATCCGAATCTTCCGAACGGCAAGGCGTGTGTCGCGCTTGGATAACTTTCTGGGACGACCTGGATGTGGTGGGGTATAGTAAAAGTTGTGGCTCTCGTGGTATTTGTTGAACGTGCGGCGGACTGTGTCCTCGCTGAGACTGAGTTCTTGGGCAATGTCCTTAATGGGGACATTCCGCTCTCGCAGGCAGACGATCCGTGCCCGCTTTGTTGGTGTGGCTTTAGTCATAGACTTTCTGCGAGTTTGGATGGAAATGATGTGGTTTCGAGGAAGTGTTGTCGCGCTGTGCCACGATTCTCAAATTTGATGAGGTAATATACTAATATTACAGTCTATTTTTGGGCACTCAGGAACAAACTCTCTGTAACTTTTCTCCTCGTTCGAGGAACCACACAACATTATGGTGTCTTATGCAGAAGAACCTCCTCATTAACTTGAGAACAAAAAAGGTGTTTATTTACCCCCATAAATTAATAATCTAGCCTCATCTTTTTGGTAAATCGTGACCCGCAGTATTTTTTGCCGGCACTTTATGCAACCCAGACACTTACCAGCCCCGAACAGACTATGCCAACGGTCCAAGGATAAGTGCAAACCCATCTCCATCAGGAAAAAAAGGACTTGCAATATTGCGGTATGTAGACGTGATAGTGCTGGTAGCGCCATCGAGAGCCCCCTGATATATAGTTTGTGGTAGATACACCGACAAATACAGTTGAGTGCAAAAAGAATGAAGGTTGGTTCATTTTTCTGGTTCTTTCTAAGAATCTATTGTACCTCAAATGTATTTGTGTATTCTTTTACATTATGTAGTTGTGTTACACTTCCCTTGGTATGGACTAATTTCAGTGAAAGCTGGAGCCTTGAGAAGGTTTTTATTCTGGAGGCCATTTTTGGCATCTGAAAAAAAAAATATGCGCTAACTGGGGAGGTAGCCAGAACATACCTCTGGTCAACCTGAATGAGCCTATCAAAGAATCAGTCAAAAATACTGAGCAGTTCAGTCTGTAGAGGCTTTGGAAAATGGCTTGTTTTGTCTAAAACAGGCCAAAAATAACCAAAATAGCACAAAATGACCATTTTCTGGAGGCTCTACAAGCATAACTGCTCAGTATTTTTAACTAATTCTTTGATAGGCTCATTCAGGTTGACCAGAGGTATGTTCTGGCTACCTCCCCAGTTAGCGCATATTTTTTTTTTCAGATGCCAAAAATGGCCTCCAGAATAAAAACCTTCTCAAGGCTCCAGCTTTCACTGAAATTAGTCCATACCAAGGGAAGTGTAACACAACTACATAATGTAAAAGAATACACAAATACATTTGAGGTACAATAGATTCTTAGAAAGAACCAGAAAAATGAACCAACCTTCATTCTTTTTGCACTCAACTGTACATATCACTACAAATAAGTCTATAGCTTAGCATGGTTGTGCTGTATCATCATGTAGTTTGATAGAGTCATATTCCCGTAGTTGTACATAGCTCTATGTGATCTCTATGGTACAAGGTACTAGCTTGAGAAATATTCTAAAAGCAGAATCGGCTTATTCTTGGGGAGTCTCGAGTAATTGTTGTCAGTCTAAGATTTTGTTAGTGTCCATTTCATTTTGTAGTGTATTGTAATGTAAATATTCTATTCTATTTCATATCATGTAATTGTAGTACGTGGAGCTCTATTTTATATGCGTGCAATGAGCGGGACTCAAACTCTAGGGCTTGTAGTATTGATTACTTGGCTTACTTATTGATAGTTACCACTGCACCAGCAGGCAATATTGTAAAATTCAATCTCAGGTCGGTATGATCATCGGCGAGTGTCCAGCAAATCTTGGGTAAGGAGAGTTTTCGTAGGCCTCTGCGCTTGACGACACATCCCACCTCACGGCCTTGTCAGACTGAGCCCTGCCCACTCATTCCAAATGATTTCCACCTTGCAACACAGTAAGTATGTTGCACTCTCCCCATCTGTCGGGCTGACATCCCTCACAAGAATAGGGATTACTGCAGGCTTTGCCTCGTTATCCTAAAACCCTTGTAATCACTATTCTACTGTGAGTTTGATTCTTATCTTTTCGGACAGTTTCCATCCTGATTGCGTGTATGCAGTCACTCTTCGTTCGCTTCTGGGCGACGACAAAGGAAGGTAGCGTCAAGGAGGTGCAGGGGGGTTATTCAGAAGCTATGACGTGGGGCTTCTATTTCAATCTTGATGTGGAGGAACTGTCGATGGGTGACAGGCTGCGTTGCAGAATTTCACAAGGTATGTGGCTCTTTCCGACCACAAATCTCAGCCACAACCACATACCATTCCAGCTAAACCAAGCCAACACTGACACCGAACCAGCTATCTGCCACCAGCGCCCCGGCCAACTGGATGACTCCCTCTCCAAATGCCAACCCATCTCTCAAGTCCACGTTGACCAAATGACATCCTCCATCGATCACATGCACGATCAGAACCAAACGCACTGACGGCAACCGTTCTCCTCACCAGGCAGCTACGAGATCTCCTAATCTGCCCTCGCGAGACGGGGGTCGTCAACTACGTTCAACATCAGTCAATTGTCAGGCAAAACTTGTATGATACTGACTTGGTACGTTCAACTTTGCGTATGACTCACTTCAGGCTGCTGACGTCTTTCAGCCAATCTGAGCACTTGCAGACCTGCCCTTCATACCCAACACTCTCACCTCCCTCCGGATAGGCAAACACGACACGCTCTTAGCTGCAGGTGGTGCAGAGATCCATCTTTCCCACCATGCGCTGACCTCATCCCGCTGCAGATCCATAAACAACTCTGTCGTACTCACATCCCTCAACCTCACTCGCTCACACGAAAGCAGTGTTGATCCGTGTGGCCATCAGCAACAATGATTGCACTGTCAAATTCTACGATGTCCCTATCCGAGCACAGAGCCAGTAACATGGTTTTCAGCCCTCCTCAAGCGCCGCTTTCAAATCCTAACCTCTGGCGACCCATTTCACACGCTGTGTTTGACTGGTCCTTGGGCCCTGGGTATGCGATTATCGGACCTTTGTTATTTTGCTTCGTAATGGATAGTGTTTGGAAGTCCGGTCTCGTGACTGGAAAAAGACTGTAACCAGACTGGACCAAGACTGCAAAAGACCGGACCTGCGGTTACGGTCTTTTATTTTTGAAATGTAAAGACCGCAAAAAAACCGGTTAACGTGAACCGGTCTTGACCGGTTTGGACCGGTCTTTTATAGCCCCTTAAATACCCTTTAAAACGCACCCAAGAACGTACGATTTGGTAAAAAAACGAGAGAGATATGAATTAAAATGTAAATTACTTTTGGGAATAATAGATGTACCAGACTTATTTTATAGAAGCACCAACTCCTAACGGAATTTAATGTTCTTGGGCTCGTTTTGAAGCTATTAGAGATGTTAATAAATTTACCGATTCATAATTTTAAAATATTGGCCTAAAGACCGGTCATAAACCGGTTAAAACTGATCCAGACCGAAACCAGTCTATAGACTGCAAAAAACCGCGGTCTGCGGTCTTTTTGCGGTCCGGTCTGGTCTTTTGACTTCTGGGGAAAAGGCAGACCGGTTACGGTTACGGTTAACGCCCCTGGGCATCAAAAAACCGGACCGAACCGGACTTTCAAACACTAGCAATGGAGGCAACGGTTAGCAATAGGTATAAGATGAGGGGAAAGCAGGTATTCATTGGCGAGGCTTTCGGGGGGTAGAGAAACCATAGATACAAAATCCATAGCATTGATAGCCAGCATAGATCTGGCTGTAACTATTCAGCCGACCAATAAGATATTGCTTCCTGCTCAACTCTAGGTACTATCAAATAACATGGCCATGCTATCATGACCAATGCAGTTACATGTTGCGCTCGGCTAAAATACAGTGCCTACTTTTTCTATATCCGGCTACAGATCTAACCGGCGATCTATCGGAGAAATCACCCCTTTTCCTGATGTCATCATGATTTCGGTGTAGAAAATCGAGGGTTTGAAAAGGAAAGCTCGACGATTGACTCGTCTTCGGCGCCGAGAGGTTGGGAGAGCAAACTGAGAGAGATGCAGAAGAATGCGAGCTGATTTGGTCAAGTTATCATTGATTAGACTGGTGACCGTCTGACATGAGGGGATGTGTGATAAGGCTCGTCCCGTGATTATTGTGGCATAGACTCTTGATAAGTAGAGCTTGCGAGCGTGACTGGCTTGCGCATTGCCCTGCCGCAAACGACCGCGACGTTGACGCGTGTAAAAGCCCGTTCTCCAGCTCACTATTTCTCGGGACTTCAAGCATGCCACCGTTACCCACCAAGAAACCCTCGTCGCAATTTCTTATATCCTCAACGCTCGCAGCCATAGCCAACCACTTCAAACCCCACAAAGCAGAGGCTCTCCAACGTATACGGCCGAACGCCGTCTGTCTCATAGCTGCTCTTATGCTGTCTTAATTGCTTCCGGTGCGGTCTCTGCCGACGGCCATTGGACGGAGGTGGTCATCGGAGTGGGTGTATCAGTGGGCGTGCTTGCTAGGTGAGTGCTGTTATGTGTTTCTTGAGTTTTGCTGATTGGTGGTATGTCTGTAGAAGTGACGGCGGTTACGATTTTCCGTTCGATATCGCGGAGGCGGGCTATGCGCTCACATATCTTTCCCCGCCAATGCCACCCGTCAAGCGCGCGTCAACTCTCATCAAGCTGACGTTGAGCCACTGTTTATGTAATTCCGACAACATGCCTCCGACCAAATACCGTTACATCTGGCTTCCTTTTCGTTCCTTCTCCTGAGGACAGTGCAGCTCTTTGGGGTGGCCTATTCGCGGTAAGGCCACGTCATCAATCAGCATATTCACAAAATTGACGTTGGACTTCGCAGCCCATTATTCTGAGAACGCGAGCGGTGGGCGATCTACATCAAGTTTGACTATCCATCTTATAAATTTGTCAGGCAGAGCGTCATGACTTGACGGCATTCAGATTCTCGAAGGTTCTGGTCCACCCACACCGTATTTTCAACTCTCAACCAATTTTTGGTATCAACGATGCACCTTTGAATTACACACAAACCTTTCTCCGCCTCCCGAACTTCCTGTCGTCCCAAAACTTGAAGGTCCCGGGTTCTCTTCCTTCAGTCCCAGGCCTCATCTTTTCTAGCCTATGTTCCTCAGTCCTTGGCCTATCCTCTCTCAGTCCTAGGCCTATCGTCCCTGAGTTTCAGGCCATCTTACCGCAGTCCCAGGCGTACCTTCTCGCAGTTTCAGGCCTATCTTCCAGGTTTATCTTTCCTCAGTACCAGCTTATCTTTCCCCAGTTCCAGCCTATCTTGCCCCAACTCCAGCCTATTTTTCCCCAGTCTCAGTCCTATCCTCCCCACAGTTCCAAGCCTACCTTCCCTCAGTTCCAAGCCTACCGTCTCTCAGTCCCGGCTTACCTTCTGTCAGTCCCGGCCTATCTTCCCCCATTCCCAAGTTTACTTTCCCTTAATCCCAGGCCTATCCTTCTTCGTCCCGGTCTCAGGCCTATCTTCCCCCAGTTCCAGGCCTATCATTCCTCAACCCTAGGCCTGCTTCCTCACAGTCCAATTCCTCTTTAGTTTCGCAACTGGGCCCCCATCTGCTAGCCATTTGAGCGACGGCCGATGTGTCCTGCTTCTCTAGGCATGATTCAGGTGAAGAGCTTCTCCAGCGCCACGTCCTGTTCATGCCTCATCAACGCGCACTTTGTCTCCAAGATGGGCCAAGGGCTGGGACAGGGATTTGTTTCTTAGCCTTCCGTGTCAGCGATGTTGCAGACGGATGTTTATCATCGTCAAAATTGAGGCGTAGTGTATCGAGGACCGTGGCGTGGGCCGAAGATATCTTGTTGTGTGCAGGGCTCAACTTCTCATCGGGTGCAGGGCTCAGTTTCTCGTCATCTGCAGGGGCCTTAATTCCTACGCACCGAGCCTTATTTCCTACGCACCGAATCGAATCCGTCACCGACGACATGAACCGGTTTCTTCCAGCCTGGTCTTCCGTGTCAGCGATGTTGTAGACGAATGTTCTCCACCACAAAACGAAGACAATAGTTCTCAGCCATGACAAACCATGTTTCTGCAACTGGGTTCTAGTGATAGATGATCAATAAGAGACAGAAGGCTGCGACTTTTGACTCTTCCCATTCCTTATCGTGTGCAAGGGCCATATTTCATGCACACCTCATCTCAGGATCTAACTTGCTTGTGTGTGCAATAAAAAGTGGAGAGTCCTTCCACTCCCCGTCGTGTGCATCAGCCTCATCTCATGCACACTCCATCTCCAAAATCAATTCGCCTTCATGGGCAAAAAAGATCTGGAAGCTCGTCATTCTGGTGGTGTTCAACACAGCTGTTCAAGACCCGATTTACACGCAGCGCTAAACCATATCTTCTAAATGTGCCACATGCACAGATTTGACCTCGAAAATATTGATCATAGCTATGAAGCGATGATCAATCACATCCTGGTCATTCTTATATCCGCATTCTCCTCTCAAAGCAAGCCACCTATGCTAATTTCTTATCGAACAGTTCCCGCATTTACTTGCATTGGGCCACTCTGAGCGGGCGCCATTGCCGCCGCAACGAAGTTGTCAAACGTACGAAAGCACAGTTCAATCAGTGATTGAGCTTCCCCTCCACATCTTCTGCAAGTCCATCAGTCTTTCCACTGTTTCCTCGCCAGTTCTGATCATAACTATCAACCATTAAGCGATAATCAAATATTACGGGGCTTTTGCGACTATTTGAGCTATTTCTTTGGAGTAGGGAAGCACCTTTGAAAGTTCAGAAGTCCTGCAAGGACAGCGAATCCGTTCTGAGCTCTCCCCTAACCTCGCACCATCTACCTACGGGCGCCTACCTAACCAGAGACCTTTGGGCGGATGAACAACTTCGAGACTCAGGCGGCACCCCTATTGAAAGTCTTTAAAGCCCCTCCTTTGACGATTGAGGCTGCTGCTTATCCCAGCTTCGCCATGACCCTCCTATCGCTCCTTTCCTCGCTCCTTCTCCTTGCTTTGGGTGTCGTTGCCAACCCAGTCGTCATCAACCGATCTTTAGTAACGCTCCCCTTGGCCAAGAAGTATAACTTTACTAGTATCAACAACCTCCTCAAGCATGATCAGGCTCGCGCACGGGCGTTGAAGAGTCGTGCGTTCGGGAAAGGCGGTGTTCCCGACACTGGTATCAACGAGCCGATCACGAATCAGGTTGTCACTTACATCGCATCGGTTGGCGTTGGCAATCCGCCTACAAACTGTGCGTAAAGACCTTGTTACGCTATTTTGCAGTCTGATAGGTTTCACCTTTTCTAGATAGCCTTGTCGTTGACACAGGAAGGTCAGTACTTTATAATTAGAACCGTATCATAGCTGACAACTCAGCGAACAGTTCCAACACCTGGATCGGTTCTGGAAATAAAAAATACGTAAAGACCAACTCCAGCGTACAAACCGGCGATAGTGTAGTAAGTTTGGGTTATTACTATCCTTGTACTTCTTTCACGACGACTGTAGTCTGTTTCATATGGAAAGGGATTCTTCTCGGGAACTGAGTTCTATGACACAGTCACACTTACTCCTCAGTTGATCATTCCTAGGCAATCGATCGGCGTTGCGTCGCAGGTATGTCGCACTTTCGAGTTTCCGCACTTGTCTGACAGCCTCTTCCAGTCTAAAGCATTCGACACTGTCAATGGTATCCTCGGGTGAGAAGTTTGTCTCCTTGGTTGTGCCCCTCTTATGTCGTCCATGCAATCTAGCATCGGCCCGAAAGACCTGACGGTTGGTAAGTTCGACAATGTATCCTCCTCCCCCTTTCCTCACTCACATCCACCTAGGCACTTTGTCCCCGGACAAAAACACTGTCGTCCCAACCGTGACCGACAACCTATACAACCTTCGCACCATCCCCGCTAACCAAATTGGTATCTTCTTCCAACCATTTACCCCAACCTCTTCTGGAAATGGGGAGATTGCTTGGGGTACCTTCACTTTCGCATAGTTATCAGTCGTGCGCTTATCTAAACTACTATCAGGTGGAGCTGATAGTTCCAAATATACGGGTCAGATCAATTTTACGCCCATCACCAACACCCACCCTGCTAGCGCCTACTGGGGGATCAACCAGTCCATCCACTACGGTCCAACGACCATCCTTCGATTGACGGCAGGTATTGTTGACACTGGTTAGTCCTCGTTCTAGCCGTCACAAGAGCTCCTCATATTGGATACTACATAGGGACTACCCTGATCCTGCTTGCCACCGACGCTTTCAACGGGTACAAGTCGGCCACTGGTGCCGTCCCCGACACCACCACTGGTCTTCTTAGTATCACTCCTGCCCAATTCGCAAAGTTGCAGGATCTGGTCTTCACTACGAATAGTGTACGTTTTCTCATCCTCAGTACTACAATTCATGGCTTACAAGCGTACTACAGGGTTCTTACGCTCTTACCCCAAACGCCCAACTATGGCCCCGCTCTCTTAACACACAAATCGGTGGCACCGCTGGCAGTATCTACCTGATTGTTGGCAATCTTGGTACCCCCAGTGGTCAAGGTCTTGATTTCATCAACGGTTACGCATTCCTGGAGCGCTTCTACTCCGTCTATGACACCACCAATCAGCAAGTCGGATTGGCCACTACCTCCTACACGAACGCCATTACCAATTGAGTCGCTTACGATTGTAGGCAATACATGTTCTTTCTTGTCTAGTGGCATTCAGGCTTGTTTGTAATTTGATAGTTAGTCCTTACTATTGGAATGCCATTGCAAGACCAGATTATATTTATGTCAATTTCTGAAGTGCTCTCCGCGTCTTGAGGTACCTCGTATTCAACCACTTTTGGGCTCGATTTTACTTAATAACATCACGCTGACGTTGAGCCACTGTTTGATTCCGACATCCTGCCTCCGACCATATACCGTTACATCTGGCTTCCTTTTCGTTCCTTCTCTTCCTAAGGACAGTGCACCTCTTAGGGGTGGCCTGTTCGCGGTAAGGCCACGTCATCCATCAGCGTATACAAAAAATTGACGTTGGATTTCCCAGCCCATTTTATCCTGAAGAAGCAAGGCTGGAGTGCCGCAAGAACTCCGGGGTGCTCTCTACGAGGGTTAACGTTGGACGTTGCACCAGAGAAGGCCGTTCTGGGTGAGTAGTTTTGCTGTCTTGATGTTGAACTACGCCCAACTCATATGTGTCTCTACGGAAGCTGGAGCGCCTTGCGCTGAGGTTTGAACGTGCTCAAGTCAAACTATGCCCATCACATGGCATTGGTGCATCTACCGGTTACACCTGGTCTTGGTCAATCCCTCTCAACCACGCCTTTTGGTGCCCTTCAACTTTAGGGGTATGGCGAAGACGATGGTCTTCAATTGCGCCTATGAGAGACAACTTTGTGCAATATCGTTTTACCGCCATTCTATGGGCCCAGTCTATGAGTCAGGAAGGATGAATGAGCGAGGAGCTTGGGCTTCTGACCGGCTGGGATGGGGCTAGTCTTCACTGTTTCCTTGCCGTCCTCAAGGCTCATCTCATATCCGCCTCATTTTCGGAGTGGGCAATGAAGACAAACTTCTAAAGGCCGGAAGCGTTCTGGAGAGCACGGTTGTTTGGAAATCGGGTGTACGTACCACTTGAATTGTTGTCGTTGCGCAGGTTTATCACGGTTCGTTCATTCTTTCAAGCCCTCATGCAGCAAATGCAATCGATCGCCTTGACGAGCCCTATCCTTGATACAAGCGACGGTTCAAATCTTTTGCGAGGGTGCAAATTGTGATTATAAGCATCAAGCAACACGGGTTTCTGCTGCAGCATCATCCATCCCCTTCCCCCAGTTGCCAGAAACAAGGGGTTGCATCAACCACAAACAATTATAACCACCAAGCGGTGATTGAATGTTCACGGGTGAGTCCGCTATCCTCACTAGTTCGCGAACATAGGGAAGGACTTTGAGGCAACAAGATTAACGTTCTAAATATCCTGACTTAGGATTCGCCATGACTCAATCCCCCACGATAGTCCGGTACTCAGGGGCTCCTGGCTGATTCTAAACTTCTTTCATTTAGGCCTCTGAGCGATTTCTCAGACCCGGCGTGGCGCGACGCCGCTACGTTGGAGATGCCAATAGGATGGTTCTGCGATCTAATCCGTATTCCTTTTGTCTGGTTGATAAACCATTGGTCATCTTGTGAGCAACGCCGCCTCTATTCCAGCCCATTCCTCTTGGTTAAATTTCGCACTTGCAATGCTCTAGCCGCTCCCCGGCAATGATTGAGCTCGTTCACTGGCACTCCTTGCCTCCTCTAGTAATTCTCGTACTGTCCTTGCTCCTCGAGAATAGTTATCAGGGCACGATTCACGCATTCTGGTCTATTTTTGCTATCCTTAGACCAGCGTTATAAATCGACTTCGCGGAAGGCAGGAAGTTCTTGGCCATTCTAGCGATTCCGCCATGAGCCAGTTATTTACCCCACACAGCTCAGCCACCTAGGGCCGCCTATCTGATTCGACGTTCTTTATTCGGGCCCCTGAAGAGCGATCCGTCAAGAAGGCGTGGCGTAACGTCGCCTTATCGAATAGTATAAAAGAGCTCTCCTTGACCATTGAGAGTTCTTAAGCTGCTGCTGCTGCTTTTCAGTCTGCACTTCGTCATGACCCTTACATCTTTCCTCTCTTCGCTTCTTTTGCTCGCTTTGCTCGCTGCTGCCAAACCAGTCGTCGTGAACCGATTCCCGGTGACGCTGCCGTTGACCAGATTCATCAACTCCACCGGTGTCTACAACCTCCTGCAACATGATCAGGCTCGCGCACAAGTGTTCAAGTTAAAGAATCGTGCCCTTGGGAGAGGCAGCGCTCCGGCCGCCATAATCAACGAGCCGATTACTAATGCCTTCGTCTATTACTTACGCTGCATCGGTTGGCGTTGGCAGTCCAGCTACAACTTGTGAGTAGGATTTCATCGTGCTCTGCGTATTTTAATAGGTTGTTGCCGTGTTCAGATTCGCTTCTTATTGACACCGGAAGGCTAGTCCTACATATCAAGAGTGATGTGCCGATAACAGTATCTGAACGGATAGCTCCAACACCTGGCTTGGCGCAGGAAAAAAGTACGTACTTAGCAGCACTAGCAAATTTACTGGCGATCTCGTGGTAAGTCTCGATTCTTAACCCCTGCGTCCCCGATGTTCCATTGAATGTCATCTAGTACGTTCGCTATGGATCTGGCTTCTTCTCAGGATCGGAGTGGAATGATACAGTCACAATTGAACCTGGTTTGGTCATTCCTAAGCAATCAATTGGCGTTGCAGTGGTGGTAAGATTTGAGCTTCCCCACTTTTTACTACTCCTGAGCGCCCTTCAGAGCAGTGGATTTAAAAATATCGATGGCATTCTTGGGTACAGGTTTAATTATCTCGTGGAAAGCCTCTGTCTCATCTAGGCAATGCAGTGTCGGCCCGGTTGACTTGACAGCAGGTAAGCCTACGATTCTCCCTCTCAGGTTTGTTACTCATGCAACATAGGCACTTTGACAACTAAACCTGGGTCCACAACCATCCCAACGGTAACTGATAACTTATTTAAGAATGGCGCCATCACTTCGAACGAAATTGGTGTATTCTTCGCACCGATCACTCAAGCACCTGGTCAGGGGGGGGAAATTACCTGGGGTATATCACCTCTCACCTACTCTTCTGCCTCAGACTCAGAATGATATCAGGCGGAGCTGACACGGCTAAATTCGACGGCTCAATCAACTACACTCCGATCACTGGAACCTCGCCCGCTAGTGCTTACTGGGGAATCGACGAGTCTATCACCTATGGAGGGACAACGATCCTCGAAACTACGGTCGGTATTGTTGACACTGCTTAGTCCTCGTTTGAAATTTTACGCCGACAAGAAATACTCAAACTTCTGCACAGGGACTACCTTGATTCTGATTGCCACCGATGCTTATAAGAAGTACCTCGTGGCTACTGGCGCCACTTTCGACAGCGCCACTGGTCTACTTACTATCACCCTCGCCGAATACAACAATCTACAGAACTTGGTCTTCACCACCCCGGACGGCGTAGGTGCTCTCATGTCCAATACCACAATTCAAGGCTCATGACGGGATTAAAGGTCCATTACACGCTCATCCCAAATGCCCAGATCTGGCCCCGTTCCCTCAACGCAAACATTGGTGGAACTCCAGGTTCCATCTACCTCATCATCGGCGACATTGGCAGCAACAGTGGGCAAGGGCTTGATTTTATTAACGGTTTCGCATTCTTGCAGCGTTTCTACTCAGTCTACGACACCGGCAACCGGCGCGTTGGACTTGCAACTACACCTTTCACGACGTCGACTGCTAATTAAGGTTGACCGGGATTGTAGACATGATGGGATCAGCCAGAGATCGACTTTCCGAGTTCTTGAAAACTTATTTCACGATTGGACTTCTAGGTTACTTACTGTAGTTTTGTATATGGGCTGAAATGCAAACCGTCTTGTTAAACGTCATGCGATGTTTTAGCAAACCGTTTCTCCACAGCCATGTACATCTATATTATATATGAGCACCAAGTAGCACATCCCTTTTGGGATGAGATACATCATTCTTGGTGGCAGGTCGCAGTGACTTGTCGAATTGGGAGGACGATCTCCTTGAAAGCTAGCTTCACATGAGACGCGAAGTGAGATAAAAATCTCACGGGTAACGCTCCAGAGTGAAGACATGTCAAAGTGGATGAGTTGTTCAAGAAAACAGTGGTGCTAAGCCCCTGATAAACAGTCAGCCAACTTGAGACTGCGCACAATGTGTAGAAATTACCTGTAAACGACAGAATCTCGGTATCCCCGCGAACCCGAGGCCCAGGCCCGAACGTTTTATTTCTAAAGTGACTCCACGACATGCTTGAGCACGATGGAATAGCTGACTGCTTCAGCTAGGGCAAGATTTTAGTGAGGTGAATTGTCGCAGCCATCCGCGGATCCGTGATAACTCACTTCCAACCTTGTCAGCCCAGACCATCCGACGTTTCAATCGTACCCAACGTCCGATAGCTCGACGAAGCTAGCAAAAGGACGGCTAAAAGGCTCAGTAAACCCTTTAGATCGGTCGGATTCCGTCAATCAGGACTTCTGTACTAAGGTAATTCCCTGATCAAAGTATCACGCCATTGTCGTGCTGTGGCCATCATTATTGCCAGCAATTCATTCATCCCTTCTACGTTTAGGGCAGTATACAATCTAAGCAAATATATGTCAGAACGGAAAGAAACACAAACGGGGAATGACGTACCTTGAAAAACGGCCCAATTCATGATGTTCAAAGATGTAGTATCCTTTTGAAAAGTGTCGTTTCCACCCTATCGTTGGCACAAACCCGTTGATTTTCCGTAAGCGGGCTGCTGCCTTTGACAAGCAAATGTGGATATTCAAGAATTGAAGCGCTGAAGCTCTGCTGAGCCTGGAGTGACGAGCGGAGTGATGAAGCTTGGAAACGTGATGAGACGCGATCATGCATGTTGACCAAAACTAGCACAACTCAAGCACGACTGGGACTCCCGAGGCATAGGACTTCAAAGCTTCAAAGCTTCAAGGACGCTGAAACTAGTACAACCGCTGCTCTTGCAAACGCCTGAAATCATACTCTTGACCTCTTCTCTGCCGCGAGTGGTTCCAGCCATTGTCATTTTGCTCAACTTGTGGCTTTGCATTCCTAATGATATGGGGCCAGATGGATAGCTCTTTGGAATAGAAGTTTCATGCGTAGTGATACTGCGAAGATGACAACAGTATGTCTGTCGAATGTACTCTAATTCTTCTCTTCCTGAAACACCCCCCAGGCAATAAGAGGTGTATGAGTGCACCGCAATATTTACCTTAGACCCACGCCAGTGTGTTCCGATGAGGTCTCCAGCATATGCTACTGTATACTTCACGTCGGAACAAGCGACAAAATCCCGTCATCCGTTCCAACTGAAAACTAAAGGTTTCTTTTACACCACCGCCGAGCCACAAATGCCAGGCGAATTCCGCTTCCGCAGTACGTAGGACGACAGCTTTTCATCTGGCGTTGATCTCGGCAAGCAGGAGGTACTGTCAATGATGCGTACCCTCGTCTCCGTTCTGGCGTGCAGAAAATTCAGCATAGACTTTTGGAGGACCAGCTTATGTCGTAGTCCCTCGTGTCGAGGTTTGCCAAGATCGATGCGACGAGAACGAAGTTCGGCTCGACATCTATGTCTTTGTTCAGCCTCACTACACCTCTCTATATGAACCTCTTGTTTGTTCGAAGTCTATTTAACAGCTGTCGGTCTCACCTTTAGCAAGAGGTGGAAAGGCAACTTTAACATCTTCCCCTATCCAAAGGGCTCACCGGATCGAGCGTTCCCTTATGGTGGCACGGTACCTTTCTTTCGAAGGTGACAATAGTACTTCTTCTTTTCATGAAACACCCCACAGACAACTTGATAAGAAGAGGTGTATGAGTAGCACCGCGATATTTACCTCCGAGGTTTCCAGCGTAGCATATGCTGTTGTGTACTTCACTTCGAGACAAGCGAGAACATCCCGTCACACGGTCGGTTTCTTGAACTGATTTCAGTGGCTGGCTTCTGAATTGATGAATACTTTGTATCAGTGCGGAACTATGTCCATTTAGACCTGCTCATGCCGGAACGGAGAATTGATTGGATTTCTAAAAAGCGTCGAAGGAACCCATGACTGCCACGAAGTCAGCACAGGAGCTCCGCGTCGAGATAGCCATGATTGATTTCCCCAGCCGCTTATCATGTAAAAATTGCCAGGTTGCGCAATGGGCCCTTGTGGCGAACCTAATGCCAAGCAATAAGTCGGATCCTCACGTTTTGTTCATGGAAACGCGTCGTTTAGGTTGTGTTGGGTGAGGAGAACCCATGGAGCCCGAGGCGTCTCTGTTTCGGATCTACCTCTCTCGAAGCCATCATGGTTCCATGGCTTACGGTACATAATCTATGTACCTTGCTCTTGCCCGCACAGCAACCATGACGGTTGCCCTTGACTGGCTCCTCTCTATCAACGAGCGCTCCTACCAACTCCTCTTTCTCGGCGCCGTCGTATCTGTCGTATTGCTGGTTTACCATGTCGGCGAAACTCGTAAAGTGCGTCCGCCAAGCCCTCCATGTCCTAGAGGATTCATCCCCACTGCAGCTGAAGCATATCCCTACCATGGGTTTCGAGTCCCCAATTTTATCTTACCTTGACGCCTTTCGCTATTTCACCAACTCGAAGACCCTCGTTGACGAGACAGTTGCCAAGGTGTGTCATGCAATTCAAAGGTGTTCCATTTCTGACGAATGCGTATAGTTCCCGAATAAAATTGTCAAAGTGCCAGACTTTTCAAAGTGGAAGGTGGTAGTGTCTGAAGCTAATGCGATCCAAGAACTGGGTTCAATCTCCGAGCACGTGCTGTCGTCCTTGGACGCTGTCAGCGAGGTGCTGTACACCAAATTCTCGGATGATCTATGGCACTTTATTAATCTATCACTCTCAGTTTCTTCAAACATTTTACACCTTTGGCCCAGGCGTTAAACGATCACCATATCACATTCCTATCATCCGGTCACAACTTACTCGAGCCCTTCCAAAACTTGTTCCGGAAGTGCATGACGAGGTTGTTTCTGCTTTCAATGACTTGGTTGTCCTACCCAACGATTTCGGTCAGCCGTTTGTGGTGATGGCTTTTACTTTCATTCTCACGAAGTCTTGGCCAGAATGGAAGACAATTACAGCATTAGGAACGATGACAACAGTAGTTTGCAGAGCGACCAACCGCACTATTGTTGGCCTTCCTTTGTGTCAGTCGTCGCCCATTGTCGTATCCGTGAATTCATGTTTATGATCTCGGTTCAGGTCGTAATCCGGACTATCTGGAGCTCACCACCCAATTCGCTGCTGATGTTGTCACAATGAGCTCCATCCTCCGATTGGTACCTCCATTCCTGAGGCCGTATGTCTCATTGTCTTTCACACTTAATTTTTATTTTGAGATTCGGCCTTTTGCAATAGGATTATCAACCGCCTGTTTTCCAAGCTCCCCCAACGTCTTCAGCGGGGAATGAAGCACCTCAAGCCGATCATCGACTCTCGCAAGGAAGAACAGGAAAAGATTGGTAATGGTTATGAGAAGCCGGTTGGTTTTCTTACGTCCTTGACCACTATACCGTTGCTCAACGTCGGACGATTTCTATCAGCTTGACTTCCTAACGTGGCTTATGGAAGCAGCCCAGGGTGAGGAACAAACTCTAGAGAATCTTACAAGACGAATTTTTGTTGTGAATTTTGCAGCGATTCACACCTCTTCGATGGTGAATCCCAATTAATACCTACATATCATCCCTTACACCGAATTGATCGAGGGAATTCCAGTCATTTGTGCATGCCCTCTTCTATTTAGCCGCCCTACCCGAATACATTGGGCCTCTTCGCGCAGAAGTTGAAGAGGTCATTGAACGCGAGGGCTGGACCAAAGAGGCTCTGGATCAGATGCACAAGGTCGACAGTTTCATCAAAGAGTCGCAGCGAAAGACTTCGCTGGTCACTCGTGAGTGCCGCTCCATCCTGTATATGCTTTACGCTGACAGAAACAGTCGCGATGGAACGAATTGCCAGGGAGGATTACACATTCGCGGATGGCACCCGTATTCCTCAAGGAACTACGGTCGGTGTCAATCTTGCACAAGCACATCACGACCCGGAAACGTACGAAAATCCCAAACAGTTTGATGGCTTCCGCTTTGCGAAAATGAGGCTCCAGCAGGATAGTAAGAAATATGATATTGTTTCCACCTCCCCAGAGTTCTTCACTTTCGGATACGGGCGTCATGCGTGTCCTGGACGCTACTTCGCAGCTTGCGAGCTCAAGATCATGCTCGCGCACACTGTTCTCAACTACGACGTGAAGATGGAGAATGAGGGCGTGCGGCCCCCTGATGTCTGGTGGGCATCGTGGTGTCTGCCCAATCCGAAGGGTAAAGTTATGTTCCGCAAACGTGCAACGTAGAGAGGTTCGGAACTGATGTATGTATGTCGATGATGATGGATTTGTACGTTTTGGTAGTGATACGTTTGGTGGCTGCTTCGTGGGTGTCGAGGCTCTGCAAGGCCGGTTCCCATTTTTCAGAATCCGAAGTTGAACTCGATGAAATGGGGGATCGAAGACGAACTTGACAATGCCAAGTGAACATTGCAGGGATTGAAGTTGAATTCACGGTAGCAGAAGTGGAAGGCACTTCTCGAAAATGAAGTTGACGTTGAAACATACTATGCACAATACGCGGACGAACATGCTCCGCGTGGACACACGTCCGTTTCGCGTCCGCCGTCTGAGATTGGGATTTAGAAGCACGACAAAACGGTGACCTCCCAATTCCGAGTGCGTGGAGTAGAGGTTGTGTCCTAAGTCCAACCTTTTTAAACCTAAACTTCCTTTCACGTCATTCAGGCCCACAGAAACCCTGGCATTCCTCCACTGGGCACCCGAAATTAAGCACAACACCCTCAGTCGCGCGCTGAGCCCAACCAGCATCGAACACGTCGATTCTAACAGTGGGGGGGACTTCGCGTGGCGACCCCGAGGAGTGGAGGGTAGGATGGAGAATTTGAAGTGGAGGGAGAGGCAGTTGTGGAGGGATTCGAAGTGGAATGGGGGATTGAGGCAGAAGGGGAAGTTCGGAGGGTTACTTAGAGGAAAGGGCCGAGTGCCAATAGTATGGGAACCAAATCGAACGTCTACTCTGCAACACCCTCGTCGACCGGCACCCTGCAGCTGTTTGAGGAGGTTCTCCACAAAGGCTCTGCACGCAGGGAGCCATGTAAACTCGGATGGCTGGGTTAGAATCTGAAGGGGCGAGGGAGGACGAAGGAGGGTCGAACCCATTCATATGCGATTATGCTGGGTTCATGTGGGTGGTTTCGGATATTGCTTCATTGGTGCTTCAACGACTACTGGTCTACACCGACCCACTGGTTGCATGAGCACTTGTGTGTGTTTCCAGAGTAGTGGCCTGGGAGTAGGCCTTGAGCAGGACTTGATCATCGCGCGTATCTGAGGCTGGCCATTTTACGTTGTAAGAAAGAAGTTCAACATTCGAGCAACGTACCTTTGTCACCAATGTCCTCCCAATACTTAGCATGTGGGTGAAGTCTCGTCAGGTAGACGACCAACGGACGACGGCTAGCTCTCGCCCAAGTGTTGACTTTCGCTGGTGATGGATGCCAAGGTATGAGATTCAGAAATCGCTGTGCTTTGGAGATCAACACAACTTTACTTAGACTCATTCACTTGGCTCTACACCAACTCATCTCACGTCTTTCTAATTCGGCTGGCAACGAGGCGGCGAGGCCATGGCACTTGACACGTTCCCAGACCTGCCGTTTGAACGCACATTCTGAGCGCTAGTCTTTCTGCTTTCACACTGCCACCATGATTTCCTCCGCGATTGGGAGCTCTGCCAGATGCCCCAGCATCGAGATTTTAGGCAAGTCCTCCCACAAATTTGCCACTGCTGAAGCTGAACATTTTCCCTGTCCCAGAAATCCACGTTACATCGCAGAGTGTTCTCAAATCGGTCGAGCTTTCGATCGGATCGTTCAAGCAGGAATACCCCTGTCTCCCGGGCGCAAGGACCCACACATTTGAGTTAGCATCCCCCTGGTGAGCTGATGGTCATGTATAGCATTAGACGATGGCAAACCCAGTCCGAGTAGTCAACTTTCGCCATCAGAGCCCCTTTATGTTCGAGTCCGATATCGCGAATTGTTTCTGGGTACATCGAAGAATAAGATACACCTCGATGAATTGTTAAGCAACGTAGACCCCCACTCCTCTGGAAAACAAGGTTTGCCTCCCTTTTGCAATCGCTCCTGTTTTGTTGAAACAGAACTTTCTACTCTAGAATGGTCAAAATCATTTGACAAGTTCGATGTCGTCCTCAAAGTGAAGTTTAGCCCATACGCAGGGGTGTGTACACTTCTTCCTCGAAATGAAAGTCATCCGCCTAATGCAGGTGCGATCGATCTTAGAATGCTTCAACCGACGCAGAATCTTCGACGTTATCCACGCTGGTCGAACGGTTAGTCTGCTCAACCCCCGACCAATGTGGCTTACCTTACTGCTAGGTTCCGAGTTCTGGTCATCGGCAACGTAGCTCTCTCACATCTCTAGATCTCTCATGCACTAGCTTATAGTTTTGTTGTTGCAGAGTGGTGCAGGGAAATCCTCCCTTATCAATGAATGCTTCGGCGTCAAGGATGCTGTGAGGTCACTTCACCATCTTCTCAAAATCCGCTACTAAAGCTTGTCCTTCCCCAGACCGTGTCTCATTCAACAGCTGGCATATCAAATATCAATACTGCGATCATAGCCAATAAAAATGGAAAGTTTGTTCTGCACGAGTGTCAGGGCTTCGAGCATGGCGAGGGTGAAAACTTCCAGACAGTTGTCGATTTTTTGAAGGCTCGGAAGGACATGCCAAATGTGAGGGATCAGGTTCATGCTGTCTGGTATGTATCGCATCTCGATCACTTGTGTGAAAGAGGGTGATCAAGGTGTTGCGCAGGCTTTGTTTCCAAGTACCCTTGTCTGAAGGCGATCGATTGTTAGAAGCTGGGGTGGAAGACTTACTCTGTATGAAGTCCAGCGGAAAACTTGGCCCTGGTAGGTTTTTGACGGATTATGGTCGACGATCACTCACTCTTCGATTTAGTTCCTGTGATCACTGTCTTTACGAAGTATGACCGGCTCGTAACGGAGGTCAAATATTGTAACGGCATGGAGTTCATGTGCCGTACGAAAACCTTGCATCCGGACGCGCGCAATGCACTTTTGGTCAAGGAGACACAGAAGAGGTTCGAAACACTCTGTGTCCGTCCCTTTAGGGAAGTGGTCGGCCCAGACTTCCCTTACATTACTGTCTCAAGTAAGTTCTTGACCGGTTTTTTTCTAAATTTGTGTTTACATTCGCGATTGCAGCTAAGAAAGGGTACAATGGTTCCTTGAGGGACCTTACTGCACTCACTGCAAAATGTGTGAAAGAATGCCTCGCAGTGGGGGTCCCTTGATCTGGGACCAGTGTGTTCCTGAGCTCCAAAACGCGAACGTTACGATGATGATTGAACTCGATTGGATTCCGGGCACCTAGCCACCCGTCTACGAGGTTTACGAGCTGCAGGCGTTTGGCAATCACACCAGGGGCGGGCTTCAGAGCCTATCTCGTGTAGATGGTAAGTGCTCATCGTGAGGAGCACTTCCTCTGAATCACAAGCTCACAATCAAGCGCTCTTTGCTCTCGAAGTCACCCCAGATCGCGAACCTGGGCCGACCCTAGTTGACACCAGGAAGTTTCTCGTTGTTTCTAGGTGCAAATGCGCTTCTCGGCGTCCCGAAGCATTCGATTTTCGTCGTGGACCTGGTAGCCTGAAGGAGAAGCGGTTTCTCTGTTGACGTTTAACTATGTATGAATTATCTTGACCTTGGGCTCACGGACAGATGGGTACTTTGATGCGTGCCCCCTACACGGCTTGTAACCTCCCTCCTCACGCCAATGAATCCGTTTTTTCTGCTCTCCCTACCTTCCCCCTTGAGCTGCGTCTCCTGTCTGGAACCTAAGGTGTCTCAGACAATCCCACCCCTATATAATCAGACAACCTCCCAAGGTCGCCTCTCTACCACTATTTTCTCTAAGATGGGTGATCCGAGCTGTCTCCGCTTTGTACCCTCCTCTACCGCCACCACCCCCATTGACTGGGCTAAAGTCCCTGAAGCATCCAAAAAATATTTCCTCGAAGACTATTGTATCAACTTCTTCGAGATGGACCGAGTCTGACTCAAACTCCGAGGGGCCCCGATTCAAAACACGTCCACTCCCCGGGACCATTGGCGACCTTGCGAAGATGTTCGATGGATACAAATTCTTCGGCTACATGACACCTGAACTCTGCACGCTCCTCCTTGACATCAGCGAGTTTGGGCTCGTCAAACCCCACTCTAGTACTGAAACCCCCGGTCTTCCAGTTGGCCCGCGCTTCTACATGAAGTATCTGTCCGAAATTTGGTTTGTCCTTTTCGTGCCAGGTTGCAGGGATGGGATTACCGGCTACAGCCCAGAAATACCAGACATTGAGGACTTGGATGAAGACGAGGACTCGTATGAAGAACAGGAAGCCGAGGGGATTGCACGTGAAAAGGCATTGGCTGAGGATTACGACGCGAAGCTTCGTGAGGAGGTTAGTCGAATGGGAACGGCCGGGGTAGCAGCCTTAAAAAGGGCGGCTGGATGGGCGGGTTCCACGTTGAAAAGCAGTATGGAATCTGCACAGCTGACGGAGGCAATCATGGGACTTCCAACTGACCATCCGGCGTTTGTGGCTATGATGCAAAATTGGACAAGCTTGGTGACTCGTCGGTGAAGTGTCGAAAATCCTGGGAAACCCTGTCCGTGTTGAAGAGTTTGTAGAGTCGAAGCATTCGTGGATTCAAATGTTTTATAATTTTCTGAGCCTTCAGGATCAATGCGTTTCTTGTCTTTATCTACACATCTCCTGTATTCGGCAACAGCTCCAAGTGCCAAGATCCATCGTACACGTTGATTTGTCTGCCTGGGATTCGATATAACCTTCTTGCTGATGACATACTCAACATCCGTAAAGAAGGTTGAGTTCCTGTGTTGACCCGAGAGTCAGTGGTATGAATAAGGGCGACTAAAATGGTAGGTCAAAGATTATGCCTTTGTTTGGGAGTCGAACCCAGCTTTCCTAACTGACGACACCACAGGTGTGTTGTAGTCGCCAAATTACTAACAAAGACGTTGAAGGTGTGTGTCTCTGACAGATTGTGAGCTTGGATACGAAGGTCTGGTGCTTGGTGACTTGAAGCAGGCTGTCTTCATTGCATAATGGGGGCGTTGATTTTTGCAAGCGTAAATGTACAATCTTGAAAATTTACACACTGGGATGTGATTATGCATAATAACCAGTACTTGAACCTGACAGCGCAGTGGCGAAAATGTGCAGCTCCTTGGTACGATGTGGGCGAGTGTCCATACTTTCTTCCGAGATTGATATCGTTCTAAGCTGGCATGTTCTGCATCTCCTCTAGCAGAATCACCATCTAGCATGCCAACACGATCACCATCCACACCCACACCATCCGTATGCCCAAAGCCACCTAACACCTCTCTGACTGATGCCCTCAAAAAACGCCGCGACCACCTCGTCACCAGCATCACGTGCAGGGGTATTATCACGTGCGTGTGTAGGAAAGCAGAATCAGTCGAAGACGAACTCGATAAAGCCAAAGTCAACAGCGCCGGGATTGAGGGTGAATTCACGGCCGCAGAAGTGAAAGGCACCCTCAAGGATGAAGTCGTCGTCGAAGAATCTTCGCGTGTCTGCCGTCCGAGATTGGGCTTGAGAAACGCAACAAAATGGTCACCGGTCATCTCCAATTCCAAGAGTATTGCGTGGAGAAGAGGTAGTGTCACAATTCCAACCTTTTTGAATCTCAACTTCCTTTCACCTCAAGGCCCCGGCATTCCTCCTCACTAGAGAGCTGAAATTGAGAACAGCGCCCCGTTGCGCTCAGCCAGCATCAAGACGTCGATTCTAACAGTGGGGGTTAGGTGGAGGGGGAACTTCGGGTGGCGATCACGAGGCGGAGATTATGTTTCCGAGAGTTGTCCCAGGGGTAGAGGGAAGTTCGGAGGAGGGTTGAAAGAATTTTGAGTGGGTAGAGAGGCAGTTGAGGTGGAAGACGAAGAATTCGAGGTGGAAAGGGGGATTGAGGCAAAAGGGGGTACTATTTAGAGGAAGGGCCGAGTGCCAGCTGTAGTATGGGAACCAAATCAAACGTCTGCTCTGAGCATGGCTCTTCGGACGTAGTGGATCTTCCGGACTGAATCTGGCTATGATGTTGCAGTTGCGGGTGCTGGTTGTGTTTGAAGAAGTCTTGATTGTGACGGGAAAACAAATCAAGGCCAGGACGAAGACGAGTTGATGATTTGGTGGGGCAGAAGAAGAAACCGTGTGTTTCCAAAGTGGTGGCGTGGAGATGAGGCCTTGAGCAGGACTTGGCCATCACATGCATCTGAAGGTGCTCTTCAACCTGTTGGACATCAAGATCGTTTACTGTCTTTAATTGGAAAATCGTCAGTCGCATATCTTTGGTTAGAGTGGCACCAACCTTCCACATCTTTGCTCGATAAGCAGCATGACCGAGTCGCCCATTCATCAACGTTTCTTGATAACTCGCCGACGGCAGGCGGGAACCAGCGCTTGGAGAACTTCCCTGGCACATGTCGAGAGCTGACCACTAGTCTGAGCCATCTCCCTCCTCGAGTACCACTACGCCAAATCCACATCCATCCACATCCATCCACATCCTCACAGCTCCCAGCGTCCGATCGCAAACGAGATTTGACACCCCGACATGTCAAAGAGTCATTCTCTGGCAGCTGAGGAAGTTTCCGAGTATTCTCCAAGTGATTCCCGGGTCGGTCTATAGAGTAATCCAAAGGTTGCATCTTGTCAGGCGCATGAGTCCATGGACGTAAGATTCGCGATAGAAACAATTCACCCTCCGCTGGAAAGTCGTCATAGTCGGGAAAGATACAAACAATGGTTAGGATCCGCAAAGGATGGTTTGAGCGGACGCATGCTCGATAGGGTGGATATCTTGAGATGAGCAAGAACGTGTCCTAAAGCTGTCGAGTTAGCCTTTGGACAGCTAAAGAAATAAGGTGTCGTACCATCTGGAGCGAGACAAGTTGACTCAGCAAGCCCCTCAGATGTGAGATGCCGTTAAAGGTGGCTTTCGAGTACCTGCTAGTGCTGGCGGCGAGAGGCAGTAGAAGTTCGAGACTCTGAGTTTGACCTGAAAGGACTGTAGGATAAGCTGGTCTTGCAAGAGCCGTTTCTGATTCTGTCGAACATCGGTGCTCTTGCCCAGGGCGAGGCGAATGGACACAGGGCGAACCTGTCGTGTGGGCATTGCGGAAGCTGACTTGGCGACTCGGTGGCGGGAGTCTTGCAGTAAACCACTTCGCGTTCTGTGATTGGGTGACGGCTTCTTGTATACACGTCAACACCAGTTGGGAGGAATTTTTGACTGAATATATACTTCTTGCAGAGCTTATTGTTAAAAAAAGAGAGGGCCCAGCTTTTATAGGCGTACCTCATCCGTTTGCAATGCCTTGGCCATGCGCATAGAAATTCAAACGTTCTTGAACGTTGTTCAACTCCAGCGAGCTGTCCGCTTGTTCGGCTTCAGATGCTATATGTATCTGTCTTGCCCAGTCAGGTTGGTTTGAGTCGTGCTTCGAGTTGTGGGGATCAACATGCGTGATCGCGTGCAAGTGATGGAACCTGATGGAACTGTTTGCCCAATTATCAGTTTGAAAAAGGATGGTGAGTGACTAGTGACGGAGTGAGTGACGTCACTCCTTTGGCTGACCTAGTCCAACCAAACAGCATGTGCTTATCTTGATTCTTCATCACGTCCACCATCTCAGGCATCCCAACGACAAATGTTTCCTTCAGGTACCGAATTCCGAGGGTCAGAGGATATAGGAAGACAACAGAGACGAGCACAAAACGTTCGAAGGCTCACCGCCCGCTTTCGCATCCTCATCATCGGCCGTGCCAATGCGGGGAAGACAACCATCCTCAAGCAAGTTTGCGATACAACAGAACAGCCGAAAATTTACAATCGGGAGGGTCATGAGGTATTCTATGTTCTCGACATTATCAACTAACATTGTTAATGTGGATAGATTGACTTGTCCAAGCTCAATCCAACTGCAAAGGTAATGTGAATGCACAGTCCCTATCACATTTTCCTGAAGGAGCGGCAGAGAGGAGAGCATGATGTTGAGAATGAAATGATATTCCGTAGCAACACAGGATTTGTCTTTCATGACTCATGTGGCTTCGAAGCCGGCAGAAAATTGGAGCTGGATAAAGTTAAAGCCTTCATGCAAAAGTGTTCAACAAAAAAACATCTTGGGGATCTTTTGCATGTAATTTGGTAAGTGGGCAGAGTATTAACAGTCAAATGCATCTGAATCCATACTGTGCAGGTACTGCATTCCAATGAATGATGATGCCAGACCAATTACAAGGGCAGAGTTAGATTTCTTTGCTGAGTGTGGGACTGGTAGAGGTGGGTAATTTATTGATAACTTCTCTTGAATCCAAATTTTTTTTTTGTACCCAGTTCCTGTTATTGTCTTGTTCACAAAAGCAGATATGCTTGATGCTCAAACTATCGAATGCCTGGTTGAAGCTGGAATGAGTGTTGAAGATGCTGCAATCAAAGCTCCAGAAGAATCAATTGCCATGTTTCATGAGAAATTTGGTCAGCAACTCTATGGGAAAAAGTATCCTCCAAAGGACCATGTGTATTTTCGAGGTGTATCAAACTTTTTTATTTGTAGGTCACATATTAATTGCACTTAACAGACATGCAAAATCCCCCAAGTGACTGTAGTGAACTCCTGAGGAAGACAGCAGCTGCTCTCTCAGATGACACAATCTTACAGCTGTTTCTTACAGTTCAAAAAAACAATGTGTCTCTGTCAATTGAATATGCACTTATAAGGTAGTTGCTCCATATTTACTTTTGTGATGCTAAGTTGCTGATTACCCAGAATAATAGAGTTATATTTCCTGAGTGGAAATTATTCAAAAAGAAGAGAGAGTGGAGGGAGATGGTTGAGAATATTTTGTGTTATTTTCCACATATGGTATGTGAAACTTGCTAAACTGTTCAGCTGTAGAATGAAATAATATACTTTAACAGAAAGTAAGCCAATGTCCAGCTGGTCTCTACTAGATGTTAATGAGGATATGCTTTGGTTATAAACAGAATGTAAGTTAATATTTTGCTTGGACTTATCTCTGGTAGGCATACTCTCAAACTTGATAAATAGTTTGTAAGCTTGGAGACCCTGGGCTTTCCCTGCTTGTTGCTGACAAGAGCATGCCCTGGGTTTTAACAGGATGTAAGTGAGCATCTGGCTAGCTTTGGTTGCTTGTACTGATGAGAGCATGCTCTGGCCCTGAATAGAATGTAAGTCAACATCCAGCTGGTCTTTCCTACTTCATTGTTGATAGGAGCATGTTTTGGGTTTTGAACAGGATGTAAGTCAGCATCTGGCTGGCCTTTCCTCCTTGTTGCTGATAAGACCATGCACTGGGTTTTGAACAGAATGTAAGTCAGCATCTGGCTGGCTATTCCTACTTGTTGCTGACAATGGCATTCCCTGGGTTTGAAAGGATGTAAGTCAGCATCTGGCAAACTTCTCTATTCATTGGTGATAAAGCAGGTTTTCAAACAGATTGTAAGTCAGCATCTTGCTGGCCATTTCTCTTTGTTGCTGACAAGGGCATGCTTTGGGTTTTGAACAGAATGTAAGTCATTATCTGGGCCTTCTCTGCTTGTTACTGACAAAGATATGCTTTGGTTTTGAACAGGAGGTAACTCAGCATCTGGCTGGCCATACCTCCTTGTTACTGATAGAGCATGCTTTTCGTTTTGAACAGAAAGTGAGTCATTATCTGGCTTGTCTTTTCTGGTTGTTTTTGATAAAAGCATGGTCTGTCTTTGTATAGCTTGTAAGTCTCAGCCTTCTTCACCTTTCATTTTACTAAGAATGATGAGATTGTGAGTTCAGTTGTAGATGTTTTTGCAAAACTTTTATGCTACTGTACTTTTTCACATAGCCTGTAAGTAATTTATTTTTCTTCTTATTTTCCTTTTTTGAAAATAGAAAATAATTTGTATTAACTAAATTAATTCCTATCTCTAGGTTGGGGATGTCCTCAATTATGTGGACTGGCCTTTTGTAAATATTCACTGTTGGAATGCTATCTAGTTTTCTGACCACAAGTTAATTTTACCTAGATTGGTGATGCAAAAACCTTTGAGGACATTGCTTTTTTATGTATTGGTGTGTGTAGTCTTATTTCTGACCACTCACTCATAACCACTATTTTACTGCTCAGCCACAGCTATCATTGCAGAGCACTCTTTTTTTCTGTGGAAACAGAAGCCTTCAGCATCTTCTGCCCCCATCAAACTAGCCATTGACAAACTCAACTCATCTGAGGAGTTGAAAAAAATCAAAGCTGCCATTAAGAAAGTATCTCATTTCAAAACCAAGGATCAAAAACATGAAGTTGTAAAAATTGCTTTGGAGCATTGTCTTCGTAAGTTTATAAACCCCAAAGTCTTTTAGAGTCTTCCTCTCATGTATTTGACCTAGCTTTATAAAAATTCCTAAGAATCTTTTCAGAAATTTATATATGTAATACATGTTTCTTCTTACCACCATTGTGATGTACTTTTACCTATTGTTCTTGAAAAAAACGATTGTGTCATTTTAATTTTAATTTTTTGAAAAGGGTAATGTTTACCACCTTTCCTGTTTCAAAGCTTTCATAGGTGCTGTATTCCTTTTACAGTCAAAGTAAAACCATTTTCTCTCTGGTACCTGTTGAGTAAGGGTAAGAAAATGTTATGGTGAACATACTGGGCAGTTATTACGCTCCAGTTCTATTCTTAGTTCATTTATTCAACTACACATGCTGTTCTGAAACCTTGGAGTTTCTTGATTATTCTACTTCACTTAGTTGTAAGAGGGCCAGAGAACCAACACTTAGCCATTGCACCAAAAGGCGAATAACTGAACAATTGATAGTTCAGCCACTTGGTTCTATCTATGGTGTTGGACCCTGATTCATAGGTTATGGCACAGTAAGTAAGCCAACCAGGATTACATGTATCTCAGGAATATTCATGAAGTCAGATTCTCTCCTTTGAGAAGTCATCTAAGGTTGATTCAGCTCTAATTGAGATTGGTCTTACAAAAAGATTCTAAGTTAGACTTAAATTTCAAGGTACATTCTGGAGTTCTGATGTAGAACTAGACTTGTATCACCTACACTGCCATTTGGGCCCCAGGGTGATGGCAGAATGCCAAAGTTCCTGATTGGCATTAAAACTCTCCCCTGTCGGCTATATAATTGACAGCTATTGGGCAGCCTCTTGGATCCCAGCTGGTGGCAAGGAGTTTGATTTCTGGGTATCAGCCCCCATCTAAACCTACTCACCAGCTTCACTCACAAATTATGATACCCCCACATATCTCACTGAAGTACCACATTATTTAAAATGTATAGTATATACCACCTCTTAGAAGTTAGACCATTGAATTTATATTTTCTCATATCAGATCTGCCCCCTTTGGAACAACAAAATACTTTTTTAGCAGAACAGTCCAGACACAGGTGGGAAATATGTTTGTACTCCGCAGCTTCAAGAGAGCACAAACTCCTGTCAACAACCCATGCCTCCCTTGTCATGCTCCAACAACTTCCCTGCTGCCGCCATCCACATCATGCCCCCTCTGCCATCTCCCATTCTACACCAACTTGATGCCCACACCCAACACAGATGACTGGCAAGGTGTGGATGGGGTCAAGCACTGCCAGCAACACCACTCTGACACATTGACCACCCATGTTGGTGCCTACACCAATGAGCCGCAAATCTGTTGATGCCAACCGGCTGTCACATCAACATCAATCAACCAGCATCACAGTCAACATTCCCTCACTCTCTCAAGCTCTTGTGTGGTAAGTGCTCACTGCTCATGGGAGGTTGCCATTTTGTTTGTCCAAACCTTGCCATAGTATGTCACCAACAACAACCTATCATGTCTACCTGCTAATGTGTGCATTTCCTCTTTAGACCTCTTCATCCCTGGCCATCACCCCCACCACCAGTCAACAAAAGCAGCATGTGGGATGACAGTGTATCATGATAGCAAGGAAGGGAGCCATTAGGGTAAGTAATTGCATATTACGAGCCTCTACAGTAGTACTAGTAGATTACTCATATATGAATCAATCCCTCTCATTGTTACTAAATAACAAATATCATTAATTTTTCTACACTTTGTGCTGGGATTGAGGAGGGAATTAAATGTGATATTGATTTACAGGGTCTTGCATAAATAAGTCCAGGTGGAGAATTCACAAAATGTTATTTGCAAGTAATTGGTTGTGGCTGCGCCATGACTATCATGAGGATTATGACCAGTGAAAATTGACCCTGTGCAGATCAGGTTCCCCCAGATCAAATCAATATATTTGCCAAATTTTGGCCATCTCCCCTGTTCAGATCAGCTTCCACTGATCCATTTGGCCATTTTTCAGAGTTGATTTTCACTGGGGATTATGGGTGGCACCTGTCATAAAATTACTCTCTTTGGGCACACATCAACATAAAAAAACAGCTTTTTAAAAATGTCCACCTGAACTTATTTATGCAACACACTGTATTGCATACTAGTGGCCATATTACTACCTACTTTTTGCCAGGGCAGTTAGTAGGAATCACCCACCAACACTGAGAGCCCTGAACATACAAACAGGCCATAGTTGATGGAGCCTGCTTATGGGCCGATGAGGGATAATGACCCTGTGTTGATGAATTGGCCGATGTCATCCCCACTATTGAGGTAGCGAAGGGTCGGCCAGCGACGTAAATTTAGCACAGCCAGATCAGCAGGAAGTAAGCCCAGAGAGAGTAGGTGGTATATCGGCTGATGGATGATAGCTATGCAAGGTCGGCTGACAGTTTTGAATGTTCCTGGGTTTGTGATCAGCCGAGGGCCTTAAATTCTGATTTGAGGGGTCAGCTGGTGGGATTCACATTATTGTAGTTATGGTTTGGCTGATTAATCGAGCAAATGGATACAGCTACCCAGTCAGCCGACGAAACTGGACAATTCATGAACTCTGGATCAGCCAACCTTTTACCCCTTTTCAAGATGGATTGGTATCTGTTTTCCCCTTCGCTTTTATTTTAGGCAGCCGAGCACGGTTGCTTGAGCCAGACCCAGTCGTTCCTGCTCAGTTAATATTTCTACCATGTTATCTTTATAGGCAAATTCACTTGTCCAAGACAACATCACAGGGCATTCAGTAGCTGTGCTATGGAACCATAAAAGTACAACATGGACAATTGTCCTATGGGTCATAGGGCTACCCAAATGGGCCCAATGCTCTGGACATCACTATGGGGCCATGGGTGGGCCCAGTTCCTTAAAGATACCTAAGGGTGAATGTTGGGCCCAAATGTCAGGCCAAACCAAATCCTGCCAAATAGGCATTTGGCCCAGTTATGGTCATTTGAGTGGGTTAACTTAGCCTAAGGATAGTTGTTGGGCCCAATATTGAGAGTCCCAATGGCTGTATGATGGGCCCAAAGTGTTGGGAAGCTGAAGAATTTTACCTGGTTTTTTTGCACCGGACTCCCAGTATTTTAGTGAAACTTGCAGTGATTCGGAACTTGCGACAGGTCGGAACTTTTGGGGGTTGAGTGGAACTTTTGGGTTGAGCAGAACTTTTGGGTTGAGCAGAACTTTTGGGTTGAGCAGAACTTTTGGTTTACAGAACATCTGAAAAGGACTCTGGATGTTTGCATGAATGTTCTGAAAAAAATGCGAAATGCCCGGAACATTAATTGGGGACATCCAAAACACATCCTGGGTGTCCACATAAATGTTCCGGGAAAATGCGAAATGCCTGGTACATTAATTGGAATACACACTGGACATCCAAAAAAACACCCTGGATGTCTGCATAAATGTCCCGAATAAATACACAGGACATCCAAAACGCACCCGGTATGTCCCGGAACATTAATTGGAATATATGCAGGACATCCAGAAAGCGCATGAACATTGATTCAGGACATCCGAAAAGCACTCTAAATGTCCACATAAATGTTCCGGAAAACTGCGAAATGCCCGGAACATTAATTAGAATACACACGGGACATCCAAAAAACATCCTGGATGTCCACATAAATGTTCCGAAAAAAATGCGAAATGCCCGGAACATTAATTGGAATATATGCGGGACATCCAGAAAGCGCACAAACATTGATTCAGGACATCTGAAAAGCACCCTGAATGTCCACATAAATGTTCCGGAAAAATGCGAAATGCCCGGAACATTAATTAGAATACACATAGGACATCCAAAAAACATCCTGGATGTCTGCATAAATGTTCCGAAAAAAAATGCGAAATGCCCGGAACATTAATTGGAATATATGCGGGACATCCAGAAAGCACATGGTCATTGATTCAGGACATCTGAAAATCACCCTGGATGTCCATATGAATGTTCCGGAAAAATGCAAAATTCCTGGAACATTAATTAGAATACATATGGGACATCTGAAAAACATCCTGGATGTCTGGATAAATGTCCGGAAAAAAATGCGAAATGCCCGGAACATTAATTGGACTATACACAGGACATCCAAAAAGCACCTTGGATGTCCCAGAACATGAATTGGAATATATATGGGACATCTGTTAATTGGAATATACATGAGACATGCAAAAAGCACACGAACATTGATTCAGGACATCCGAATGGCACCCTGGATGTCCATGTAAATGTTCCGAAAAAATGCGAAATGCATGGAACACTAATTGGGACATCCGCAAAGCATTCTGCATGTCCACAATTGTCTGAAGTTCCATTGTATGAACTGAATGCCATTGAACGACCTCATCTACAAGTGAACATCACCAAGTTCTGCAAAGTGAGAGAACATCAGCATTTTCTGCAAAGTGCATAAGGACCTCCATGCTTGATATCTTGGTTATCTGAGTGATTTTATACATTGCTTTTGGGTACTAGAAATTGGGGGAATAGCTCATGCACATCCTAGGAAAAGCTCATAGGCACTTTATCTTT